CTCTCTCTCTCTCTCTCTCTCTCTCTCTTGGCTGCCTCCTGACGCCCCTCTGGGGATTCAGCCCACAGTCGGACATGTGCCCTGACCAGGAATTGAGCTGTGGCCTCCTGGTTCACAGGTCGATGCTCAACCTCTGAGCCACAGTGGGTATAACAGATACACATGTAAAGTACCCAAATCTTAAGTGTAAGGCTCAATGAAAGAGTCATCCTTTTAAAGTACAAATCTGATCACAGCACTTCCTTTGCTTTAAACCCTCCAATGACTTCCCAGTAAAGGGGAAATAAAATCTAAACCTCTTATTTCTGGCCTATAAATCACTGTCATCTAGTCCTTGCTGACTCTGCTGACCTTTATGACTAAGCCCTCTTCTCACTGGATCCAGCCATCCTGCCCTCTTCCTCTCCCTTCAACACATCAAGTGCATTGTGACCTCAGGGCCTTTGCACTCACTGTTCCCTCTAACTTAAATGCTCTCCCCTTGGATCTTCATATCATGTCTCAGTCCAAGTGTCACCTCCTCAAAGTGGAGGGCCACCTGGTCAAAAAACAAAGGAAGGAGTGGGGGTGGGGGTGGGGGTGGGGGGGAGACCACTCACAGTCATTCAGAACCCCAACACCTGTTTTATTATCTTCTTAGCTATTATCACCACCTAGTATAGTCTCTCTCTTTTTTGTTTGCATATTTAATATCCTCCTACTAGCCTCCACAGTGGTGGAGTCTTGGCCTATTTTCCCTCCTGCAGAGCCTGAAGAGTGAGTGCCTAGAAGGGAGGCTGCCCACAGGACGCCTGCTGAACGAGTGTGTTAATTCCCTGCCCACTGCTCAGCTTAGAATTCTTTTGTGCCTTGGTCGAAATCGGTTTGGCCCAGTTGATAGAGCATCAGCCTGCGAACCGAAAGGTCCTAGGTTTGATTCCGGAATCTTACCAGAAAAGGAATCTGTGAGATCAGGAGTAAGTTAGCTGGGGACAGTCTCTGCCCCCAAGACAGCAGGCAATGTACCTTGGTTGTGGGCACATCCCCAGTAGGGGGTGTGCAAAAGGCGGCTGATCGATGATTCTCTCTCATCGATGTTTCAAACTCTCTATCCCTCTCTGTAAAAAATCAATTATATATATATATATATATTATATATATATATATATATATATATATATATATATATATATATATATATATAAAAGAATTCTTTTGTGCTTTGGTCTCTACCCGCAATTGAACTATAATACAAGCATCCCCAGGGGGCAGACACCCCTTCTCCTGCAGCTCCAACAGAACTGAAGTTGGAGAACAAAACATAGGTAGAAAAATGAAAGGAAAACTTTGGGGGTCCAGGAGGAAGGTGGTGGGAGAGGCAGGCAGCCTCCCTTCCCCAAGCCCTCAGGACTGGTGGTGTGAACAGGCAGCCATCTGACAGTCCTCCCGAAAGTAACACACCGACTTCCCCGAGGCAGGGCAGAAAAGCAAAGGAAACCCCATCAGGACAGGCTGTTTCTAGAATTTCTCAGCTGCTCATGGAAATTCTGAGCCTTGGTCCCGTGAGCACAGCCTCTCCCAACGTGCCAACGACACACATCCTGAAACGCTGGGGGAGGGGCTCGTGAGCCGCTGCCAGGAGGGATCGGTGTGAGAAGTGCCAAGGTCACAGGCACAATCCGGGCAGCGGAGCTGTGCACACGCCATGGCTTCCCGAGGCTCAAGGCCTCTGTCGCAGGAGGTAAGTGTCTGCTGGATGTCAGGGGGCGGCCGACATGAGAGGAGCAAGAAGCGGAACAGAAATCTGTCCACCGAGGGCACTTGGCTAGTGGGGGGAGCCTGGGGGATGGGTGGCTCTGTACTTGCTGCACCTTTCTGGGAAAGCCGATGAGAACGCCTGTGGCTTGCTGCCCCTGGAAACTGCCCAGGGACCCGGTCTCCTGGGAACTTGCCAGGCCTCGCACATGGGGAAAGCCTCCAACATCAGGGAAATGGTCAGCGCTGAAATATCAATACATACATACACACCGGCCAGTGTGCCCTGGCCCTGGGATGACAAAGCACAGGGCCCTCCATCAGTGAGCAGGAAAGGACGGGGGCGGGAGGGGACGCCAGGGCGGCCCGGCTCTGGCTCACGTGCTGGGAGGGAGAGCAGGGCCAGCCTCCTGAAGGCCGACAAGGCTCCACCGTGTACAGAAAATGAGAGCCCGTGGGGGGCTGGCCCGGGGCCCTCTGGTTTCCAGGAAAGAGAGCCCAGTACAGCCTGCTCCCTGTGACTCACAGGACCCACACATATACCGCCCGCCCTTCCACACAGGCCAACCTTTCAGGCTTCCAGTAAAAGACACAGGGGAAAAACTGTGGCTTGGGCCTGTCCTCCCTCCTCTTTCTTGGGGAGGACAGCCCAGCAACCCTGGGGGTGCTGGGTGGGGAGTGGTGGTGGTGGAGCTGGCTGCCTTCCCTACCGGTCCGCAGGGCACAGGGAAAGGCCCTAAGAGGTAAAGGGGATCTTACCAGAAGAATCAGTGAGATCAGGAGTAAGTTAGCTGGGGACAGTCTCTGCCCCCAAGCCAGCAGGTAAAAATATTTACTAAGAACTTACTATACAGTCTGCTAAATTATCCTTCTGAAGATTCAATAATTTAATAATCCTACTATCTGTGTGTAAGTGTGGTGGGCAGTTAGCCAGACGTGCGCAGAGCAAAGATGATGGGCCACATAAAGTCACCAGGATGGAAAGCCCCAGGAGCCTAGCAAAGGGCCGGTGTAGGGTGGGACCCGGCCCCCAGGGTGACTGTCCCTCCCCTAGCACATAGCTGGTCACACAGCGGTTTGGACTCCCTGATGTTTCCTCCCTAGAGATGACATCTAGGCCTCAGCTGTATTTCAGCTTCAAGCCCAGAAAAGCAACAAAACCAGACCAGTGGACTGCATAGACGACCTGCATTATATAATGACTAGAGGCCTGGTACACGAAATTAGTGCACTGGAGGGGGAGTGTCCTTCAGCCCAGCCTGCACCCTCTCCAATCTGGGACCCCTCAGAGGATGTCCAACTGCGGGTTTAAGCCCGATCTCATAGACAGTCGGACAGCCCTCTCACAATCCAGGACTGCTGGCTCCCAACTGCTCACCTGCCTGCCAGCCTGATCACCCCTAACCACTCCCCTGCCAGCCTACCTAATCAATGCTCCCTTGCCAGCCCAATTGTCCCCAACTGCTCTCCCCTGCAGGCCTGGTCCCCCGCAACTGTCCTCCCCTGCCAGCCTGATCACCCACAACTACCTTCCCCTGCCATCTATCTTGTGGCAGCCATCTTTGACCACATGGGGGTAGCCATCTTGTGTAAGAACATGAGGGTCAATTTGCATATTACCTTTTTTAAAAATATATATTTTTATTGATTTTTACAGAGAGGAAGGGAGAGGGATAGAGAGTTAGAAACATCAATGAGAGAGAATCATCGATCAGCTGCCTCTTGCACACCCCCCACCGGGGATGTGCCCACAACCAAGGTACATGCCCTTGACCGGAATCGAACCCGGGACCCCTCAGTCCGTAGGCCGACGCTCTATCCACTGAGCCAAACTGGTCTCGGCTGCATATTACCTCTTTATTAGATAGGATTCCCTGCCCTGGTACCAACCAACCAATCAGTAGAGACCCAGACTCAGAAAAGACACACCTGGAAAGCTGCTAAATATTCAATTAATATCTCCCCCTGGAACCTCCACTGAAATCTCCACCCTTAAAACCCTAACCAGTTTGGCTCAGTGGATAGAGTATAGGCCTGCGGACTGAGGAGTCCCGGGTTCGATTCTGGTCAAGGGCATGTACCTTGGTTGAAGGCAAATCCCCAGTAGGGGTGTGCAGGAGGCAGCTGATCAATGTTTCTCTCCCAGTAGGGGTGTGCAGGAGGCAGCTGATCAATGTTTCTCTCCCGTCGATGTTTCTAACTCTGTATCCCTCTCCCTTCCTCTGTTTAAAAAAAAAAAAAAAAAAAAAAAAAAAAAAATATATATATATATATATATATATATATATATATATATATATATATAAACAAAACCAAACAAAAAACCCTTAGGACAGAGGACCCATTATCTCCCTTCCAGAAGCACCACTTCCCACCCCACCCCATCTCTGCCTTCTCAACCCCTCCAGCTTCCCTCACTCCCAGGCTCCGAGAGCCTTCCTTGACCTCTATAACTTGTTTCCTAAGCCCATTTCTTGTAGGAATTACTTTTTCTACCTCTGTGATTTTGTAAATAAATATTCTCTTACAGTTTGGGTCTTGGCTCTAAATTCTTTCCTAGCCAGAACCCAAGGTCCAGTGTGACCCCACAGCCTAACACCTGGTGCAGTTCCCGCCGCCTACCCCTAAGGACACCTGCTGTACAGATTCTCACCATGCCGAGCATTAAAATAGTATCCATGTTAGCCAGATGGGTTAGAAATCATCTTTGTTTTCATTTCTTTGATTACCAGTGTGGCTCATCACATTTTCAGGTTTACTAACATTTATATTTCTTCTGCACACATTGCCTGTTACCATTGTTTGCCCATTTTTGCTGTCATACATTCATCTTTTTTCTTATCAGTGTATGTAAGAGTTCACTGTATGGACTCTTGTGTAAGAACATATTTACCTTTTGTCACCTGTTACAAATATCTTCCTAATCGTATGCCTTTTAGTTTTGTTAATGGATATTGTGGACTGAAGTCCCATGTTAACCTGACAAGCACAGGGAAGGCCTATGTGGCAGCTTTGCAGACTCAGAAACCTAAAATAACCTCAACAGGAGGTTTGAAATTAAAACTTTTTAATTAAAAAAGCAGTCATATCCTAAGCTAGAATCCTCCCTGATGAAAGTCCATGTTTACCTTAACTGAGCCTGTCTCTTGTCTTTTAGTTCTAGGACCGCATCTGTAAAATGTCAGGGTAACTTGCCTTTTCCCAGACCTCTACGGGCTCTGCCAACCCACCAGCGTGGAGACAACAGATCCTCACTGTTATTTTCAGTGTTAATGGTTGACTCTTAATTATCCTGTACCCCTCTATGGAAAAGATGTATATGCCTATCACTTACCTTTTTATCCAATCCCAGAGGTCCCCACTTTGCTTTCTCTCACTTCCCTAATCTGTCACCAGTGAATTTCATATAACCCACGAAGTCTTCTCTTTTGATTGTAATGTATAAAATAAGGTGCAAAACCGCCATTCTCTGGAGCATTTTCTCGATCTGTTGAGATGTTGCTTCCCGGAAATTGTCAACAGTTTGGCTCAAACAAACTCACAAAGAGTCTGCACAGGTTTGAATGTTTCTTACGTGGACATAACCTTTTTAAAAGGTTAAAGTTAATATATTACACTTTTCGTTTAAGGTTTCTGCTTTTAGTAGCATGCCTGGTGAAAGGGCAGGGCGGGGCGAGGATGAGCTCCCAACTCCGCCCCGTAGGGCGGAGTTATCCCTAGCCCTCAAAACGCCTGGACCGGGAGAAATTCGCGCTCTTCCGCCATGCTGCCGGCATGAGTGGGAGGAGCCCATTGCTAGCATGGTACAGGCTCTTTTGTTTATTGCATCGGACTCGGCTCCCTGGTGGTCCTTGGGGATCACGAAGTCTGGGCATAACAGATGGGGGAATTCGTCCGGAATCCCCGGGACCATTAGGGAAAACCCGATCCGGAGAGTCTGACTGGCCGCGGTAGGTGTGTGCGCGCTCTGGAGGGACGTAAAACCCCTCATGGAATTGGTGCCCGAAGACGCCTGGTGGACGCACCATGAAGGCCATGGGCAGGAGGATCAGAAGACGTTCTGACCTCCCGGGAGGGCCCGAGAGGGACCCTCATATGGGGAGAGGAATGGCGTGAGCCGTTGCCTCACCTGCGGAAAGTGAGCCTTTCCCAGGTCTGAGTTTGGTATCTGTGGGCGGCATGGCGCCCCAGGATGGAGCCGGCGAAGTGTGGCCGGCGTGGTGGTGCGGGGCCCCCTGGCGGCGTTGGGTCGGAGGGGGGGCTCCCGCGGGGCTCAGTCTGCGCGTCGGAGCGCGGCTGGGCAGTGGTGGCCTTGCTCGGGGAGCAGGCACCTGGGTTAATTTGCTGGCTGCCTGGAGAAGTGGAGGCGGAGCCGGGAAGCCGCTGGGGCGACCTGCGCTTTCTCCTAGGCCCGCCTGAGTAGCGTGGCTGGGGCTGCTGCCAAAGCAGCCTCACTCAGGAGGCCTGGGCCCGAGGGGCCTGGGCTGGGTGAAGGCATCTGGCGTGGCGACATCCGGTAATGGAGAAGAGCTCAAGGGCAAATCTCTGTGCTCAGTAAAGAGAAAAGGCCAGTTCAAAACGAGTGCGCATAGTTTTGGGCTGTTCTTAAAAACACTTTTCTGGGTACAGAATAAGTTTTAAAAGTGGAGGAGATAACTGGGAGATAAATTAAAACTGGTTTCCCAAGTCATTGTAAGCAGCTTTTGAAATTCCCCGCCATGAGGCGGAAACTAGAAGGTAATGGCTGAGAGTCTTCAGGTAAAGAATGTGTTCATTTGCATTTGTATGCTGCTCCAGCTTCAGGGAGTGGCAGGTAATTGGTGGTGAAGCAGCCCACAATGGTTAGTCTCCTTGTCATTGGTATCAGCTAAGCAGAGTCATATAGCTACTTAAGTATGAATTATGATTGACCTATGATTTTCTGACATTGTCTTAAATCCTAGTAAACTGCCTCTGGTGTGGAGAGGTCTAGGGGAGGCCGGAGAGCGCAAGACTATTAGCTCTCCTACAAAGAGATTATTCAGTGCTTTGTTTGAACTACAGAAAAAAATTTTGAGATCTGAAAAAACTGTATGGTTAGATCTGTTGCTGAAACTTTACCCTGAATAAGCAGGATGTATTAGAAATGTAATGTTATTAATCTAAGAAATGCCAAATTTATTTGACTTGCCAGCTTTAAAAGTTCAAAGTATAAGTTGAATTAGGAAAAGTTAATTGCAGTAACTAGATGCCTAGAATATGGCAGGCTAAACTGTATTATATATGTTAAGAATAAGCAGTAATGATCTAAGATCTCAAGGATTGATTTATTCTCATTTGTCAGATGAAAAAGTATGTAATGCTTACACTTAAAAAATTATTTTAAGTCAGTGATGCAGTATTTTTTTAAGTCAGTTTTTCTAAAGTAATGTTTAATGTAACATGAAACTTTTATATTTGATTTGTTTTGTTTTGCTTTTCTCATATGCCATTGTTGTTGAATTTGGGCTTGTACCTGCATCTTGTATTTTGTTTAAACTTTGGGAATCATTTTGTTTTCAGTCATGTGTATCTACTTTATAGGTTTAAGTAGACTTCATCACAAAGGTTTATAATTTATTTAGAATTGTGTTAAAACAATGTGAAAACAATTATTTGTATGATTTAACCCCCTGCGACTGCTTGGACAATTTTCACCGATGTTCTGCAGTGGGGAGTAGAGGGGCTTAGAAATGTAGATAAATCTATATCTGTAGGGAAAATGTGGCATTTTACATTTCAGGTGGCTGTTAGAGGCCTGGGAACAGGTACTGGACCTGCTTCCTCCTCCCTTGCCTTTTCTTTAACATTTGAGGCATGGTTATGTATTTTTGGAAGATAAGATTTTTATAGAAATTATAAAGAGTATGTCCTGACAGGTTAGCTAGGAGAGGCAAGCCTTTTAGTTTCCTGATGGGCATGGGGGCACCCTATTTAGTCTTGAGAGAGCCAATAGGACCCGTACATCAGCCCAGGAAGCCACCGGACAAACTGCCTGTTTTCCTTGGACATCAAGAAGGACTGTGGTCCTCGGAAGGAACACGTACTGGGGGAATGCAGCTGTTGAACTGGTCCAAAGTGGAACAACGGATCTTTGAGGAGCTAAAGAAGGCTCTCATCTCAGCAGCTGCCCTAGCCTTGCTGGACGACGCGGAGCCTTTCCACCTCTACGTGAGTGAGGTAAGAGGCATTGCCAAAGGGGTTCTCACTCAGACTCTAGGTCCCTGGAAGGGACCTGTTGCCTATCTGTCTAAGAGACTGGACCCTGTGGCAGCCACAGCATTGTTGGTGAAGGAGGCAGATAAGTGGACTCTGGACCAGGAGCTAACCTGGATGGGCCAGGCTTTTCTCCTGGACCAGCCCTGTGTCCAGATTCAGAAAACTCTGGCCATCAACCCTGCCAGCCTGCTTCCAGATGATGATGATGGAACCCATTCATGACTGCACAGAGGTAACAGACGACAAGGTACTGTTCACGGATGGGAGCAGTTATGTTCAGGATGGGACCTGATATGCAGGGGCAGTGGTAGTCACCTTGGACCACACCATTTGGGCACAGTTCCAGAACTTTTGGCCTTAATCCAGGCCCCTTGATAGAGACACTGTGCCATCCACAAAGAAAAGAGGGTTACCAACTGCAGCCAGAAGGAATTGGCTGACCAGAAGCAAGCCACTGAAGGACCAGATGGTTGATGGACCCTCCAGATGACAAGACTGTTGGTCCCAGAGGCTCTAGGTCAGAGTTGCCCGGTGACACCAGGTTAAGTGTCACCAAGACTTCTGAACTTCTGTGAGGCAGAGTTGCTAGAAGTACTGTCTGTGCACAGGTAAATGCTAAGCAAGGTAAGGGGATCCCCCCTGGGAATTCAGGTCCCAGGGAACCTCCCCAGGAGAGCATTGGTAGGTGGATTTCAGAGATTAAACCACTAGCATTAAGGTCTAGTTTTTATAGACACTTCAGATTAGGTTGAGGTATACCCCACTATCAGATAACAGCCCTCCCCTTGGTAGCTAAGGTATCTCATAGCTCTAGCCTTAGGACAGGCGAGACTCTTGAAAAGGGGGTTTAACTAAATGTGTCTTAGATTCGGTGAAAATTGGACCAACCCCCTGTCCTTTGCCCTCTTGAGGGCCAGGTGTACCCCTTATTGGGACAAGTTTCCCCTTTTTGGGAGGGGATCATGTATGGTAACCATTTCCTTGCTCAAGTCCTTACAGGCTCTGCAGTTTGCTTGTTCCAGATGCACTGCCAGTGCCCACCGCAGACCCTGTAGCCCTGGAACTCAATGTGGGTAAAGAAATTTGCTGCCCAAGGACTCAAAGGGATGCTGCACTGTTATCCTGAGCACGCCCACTGCTGTTGAAGTAGATGGCACCCAGACCTGACTACATGACTCCCAGCTCCTGCATGGCCTGGATCCTGGCAACTACAGGCCAGGAGGAGAACTGATGCCTGCAGGAGGGGAACTGGACTTCAGTGAGGACAATACTGATGGGAACTGTGGTACTAAGGGTCTTGATAACTGTATTTGTTGTTTATGCTGAAAGGAAGTAGGCTGCTGAGTCAATGATTTGACTAGGTACATTAGACAAGGGGGGAGTGAAAGGGCAGGGCGGGGCGAGGATGAGCTCCCAACTCCGCCCCGTAGGGCGGAGTTATCCCTAGCCCTCAAAACGCCTGGACCGGGAGAAATTCGCGCTCTTCCGCCATGCTGCCGGCATGAGTGGGAGGAGCCCATTGCTAGCATGGTACAGGCTCTTTTGTTTATTGCATCGGACTCGGCTCCCTGGTGGTCCTTGGGGATCACGAAGTCTGGGCATAACACCTGGAACATGCTTTCCCACCCTGAAATTATAGAAATACACACCTTTATTTCCTTGCCTTTAAAAAAATTAAATTTCTAATTTGTCTAGAATTAAATTCTGGCATAGAGTGAGAAAGAGAATCTAACGTTTTAAATAAGAGTTAGCCAATTATCTCATTACTGTTTAATGAACATCCATTTTCCTTGTACACCTCAACCGTGGAGTCGGTAGGAAGTTAGAAACTGAGGTAAAGTCAAATCTATCCTTTGCACAGAGAGGCCACAGGTGGCTGGTCTGGCTAATGACATGTAAGAGCACAGCGTGGTGCCCGCTCTTTCACTTCCTCCTTCCTGCTCAGGGGCACCGGCTGGCAAGTAACAACCATGAGGTCAAAGTCCACTTTACAGATGAGGATGGCAGAGCAGACAGATAACTGGAGAGAGCCTGGGTTCCTACATGCACCACGGAGCAGGAACACGGCCAACCACGACGCTTTACTACCTGCCAATCAGCACGGGCTGAACAATGATGTTATTTGCATCTAAACACCCCTTTGCAATACATCCATAATCCTTTCCCCCCCTCCCTTAATTTTAGAAGAACTGCTAGGATTTACTGTTACTTGTCAGGCATGGTGCTAAGCGATTTGTTTTCATTATCTCATGTGCTCTTCTCAACAAGACATTTTACTATTACCATAGTACTTCTTCAATGGTAAGTAACAATGACAGCTTTTCTGAGCAGAGAAGACACTGGCTTACCTGTGCACCTCTATAAGACAACTCCCTATTCAGAAACATTAAGACAACAAAAAGCATCGTAAAATCCAGCAAGCATTTTACAGATGAGGACACTGAGGCTAAGTAGATTCACTCAAAACCACACAATTAGTAAGAAATAATTCCATTATTGGTTGCTGAATTCCTACACATTCTGTGGTCTGTTTCTGGGTGTTCCTATTCTGTTCCATTTACCTAGCCCTGTGACGAAGTCACTAATTGTTTTCTTCATTATTATTTTTTTCTGGTAAAGCAAGTCTAACTTCACTACTTTTAAAAATTGTTTTCGGCTATCCTTGTACATTTATTTTTGCAGGGGGGGGGGAAATAAAACTTTTAAAATTATCTTACCAAGTCTCAATACTTCACTTTGGGACTTCATCCCAGGGGAATTATCCTGAGTGGGGGAATTTGGCTTTAAGGAACTGACGGAAATGTAGGCCCAATAACAAATTCCTATAGAGTGAGTGCCAGGGGAAAAGGCAATGAGGAAAACAGACAAAAATCCCTGCCCCCGGAGCGTGCAGTCTCAGTGCTCCTATTAGGGACGTGTACAACAGAATGGGGTTGCTAACTCATATGGCAAAGCGGTTTGAGTACAGAGATTAAGAGTTTGGGCTGTGAGTGAGAGACCCCAGTGTGAATCCTGAGTCTCCAATCATCAGCTTCAAGGCTTGGGTTAAGTAACAACTTCAAGGAGACTTATTTTCCGCCAAAACTGGTTTGGCTCAGTGGATAGAGCGTCAGCCTCTGGAGTGAAAGATCCTGGGTTCGATTCCGGTCAAGGGCGTGTACCTTGGTTGCGGGCACATCCCCAGTGGGGGGGGGGGGGGGGGATGCAAAAGGCAGCTGATCGATGATTCTCCCTCATCGATGTTTCTAACTCTCTGTCCCTCTCGCTTCTTCTCTGTAAAATATCAATAAAATATATATATATTTTTAAAAACTTATTTTCCTCATTTAGAAAAATAAAGCTACCAACAGTCCCTCCTCACAACAATTAAGAAAATTAAATGAGATACCGAATATACAATAAATGCAGGGCCTCGTGTACAATGGTTGCTCAACAAATGCCAGTTATGTGGGAGAAGGAAGACATAGAAAGGCGTTCATATGTTAACTGAAAAATGAGAGCTTACAAAACTATGTACATATTTCCTTAAAATGTATACATTCATAGAAAAAGACTGAATATATATAACAAACTGTTAAACCCACTGGTGGGTTTAATGGTAACTTGTCTTTTTACTTATCTGTATTTCCTCTCTCGTTTTTATTGATTTCAGAGAGGAAGGGAGAGGGAGAGAAACATCAATGATGGAAGAGCCATTGATCAGCTGCCTGCTGCCTGCCCCACACTGGGAATTGAGCCTACAACCTGGGCATGTGCCTGGGCCAGGAACCGAACCTGGTTCACAGGTTGACGCTCAACCCCTGAGCCATGCCAGCTGGGCCATCTGTGTTTCTATGGAGTACTTTCCGGAAATGGGAAAGGCTTAAAGATGGCCATGTGAGAAGGCATGCTTCTCCCCTCTGTAAGATCTTTTAGAGGCCGGAGGTGGGTTCCAGCACTAACCTGGCTGGTTAGTGTTCTGAATCAGAGCTGCCCAGTGTTTTGGGTGAAATCCAGTGTCTGCATATCCAGTTCTGACACATCAGCCTTGCTCGTTTGGGCACCGGTCCGACATTTCAAGACTGTTGGACTCTACCCGGACCACCTAGGACATCCTGTGATTTATCTGAACTCTAAAGCCATCTCCACCTCTCCCATGTGTGGTACCAGACGGACCTCAGCCGGCCCAGCCTGCAGGGAACTGACAACGAGAGCTCCTCCCACAGAGGCAAGCTGTTGGGATTGTGGAGTGACTGGGTCCTAAGAAGGCAGGGCCTCTGAAGCCAGCTTTATAATTTATTCCCACTTGCTGCTCAGATCTGTGTCAGCCCGAGGGGAGCAGGCAGCCAGAGGCTGGGCCCTCGGCTCAACAGCAGCCAAGCCTGCTTTCTGTCTAGGTTTAAAAAGAAATCTTTCCTGTGCAGCTCTGTGAACCAGAGTTTACAAAGGACATTCCTCCCATCCTGAAGGCGGTGGGTTGAATACCACCCCGCAAGTCCGTGTCCACCCAAAAGTGCAGAAGGTGACCTTTGGGGAAATAGGGTCTTTGCAGATATAATTAAGATACCCATGACTGGTATCTTTACATGAGAAAGGAGGAGATTTGGACACACACACACACACAGAGGCCACATGAAGACGGCAGAGATGTGTGAGTGATGCTGTCACAAGCCAAGGAACACACACACCTGGGGCCACCGGAAGCTGGAAGGAGTCTGTCTCCCTGGAGCTCTGGGGGGAACGTGGCCTGGATGCCACCTTGCGTTCACAAACCACGTTTGTGACAATTGGTTAGGGCACCCCCAGGAAACTAACACCTTGTGCCAGAATTTATAAGACCTTTTATCTCAGGCTCCCTCGCTGTGGTCGGCAGAATTCCAAGACGACCCCCAATGACCTTCACCCTTGTGTGTGGGCAGGATTTGTAAATATGATATCACTCTTGCTATTGTGTTACGTTATGTAGGCAAAAGGAATTCCGCGGGGATTAGCTGCCCTGAAGACAGGGGAATTACCCTGTTATGGCCAAACCGGATCAGGTGAACCCTGAAAAGGGACAGGCCCTTGCGGGCAAAGGGGAAGTACCTTCCAGCATGGAAGTGCAGCAGACACCAGCTTAACCACGTGACCCAGGAAACCACCACCGGGAACACGACACTGACACCCTGACCCGATGCTCTGAAAAGGAGGCGACATCGTGACTGTGATATTCTTGCCAACAATGCACAGCCTCGTTCTGAGGAAGAAAGAGAGGAGCTGTCACAGCCTGGAGGAGACCAAAGGGAAACAACAACTAAACGCAATGAGGGATTACAGACCAGATCCTGGGACGGAAAAAGGATATTCGTGAAAATATTGGTGAGATTTAAATAAGGCCTGTGGCTTGTCTAATGTGCCAATGTCGATTTCCTGTCTTTGTAACTATCCTATAGAGTGAGGGATAAAAAGGCACTCCGCTATATAGTATATATTTTTTACAACTTTCCTTTATGTCTAAAACTAGTCCCAAATAAAAAGGTTGAAATAAAAGGAAATGGTTAAGTACATTAACAGAGGTTGCCTGGACTCCAGACCTTTTCTCGCATGCATCTTTGTGCTCATCTTTACAAGTGTGCATTACTTCTGATAACCAGAGGCAGAGGTTGGAGTAAGTGGGCTGGTGCAAACGATGTCGGTTTGGGGCCAAGGAACTGTTTTAACCAAGAGCAGGATGGACCCCAGGACAGAGGGCGGCTAAAACAGAGCAACAGTTTTTAATAGGGAAACAGAAACTACTGGTATCTGGGACCCCAGAGCTCTTTAAAGGCTATAACATACACTAGTTAAAGCTAAATACTGAAACTAAAATTTCTAGCCACACCCCTTGTCGCTCCATCAGCCACTCTGGCCTATACTGGCCACCCCTGCTCCAGGAACAAACATCGTTCGCTCATGCATTATTCACACAACTCTCCTCTCCTCCCTCTCCCCCTTAACTTGCCTTAATGCCACTTCCAGGAAGCCTTCCCAGACCACTGCTGCCCCAATTGCCTCACCTGTCCGCTCCCCTCAGCCCCCCCTCGCCCCGCCTCCGTAAGTGTCTGTTAACTGCCTCACTCCGTGGAGCTTGATGAATGCCACAGATAGCATGTAGCTTCCCATGGGCACTCAGCTCACCTCCACACACATCTCACCAGCCTCTTTAGAAGAGGACAGTGTTAGTCTGTCCTCGCGGAGTGGAAGCGCTCCTGTGGCCCAGCACCATGGGCCGGGACAGTCCCCCCCAGCCTTGCACATCCCTGCAGCAGGCGGGCTTTTACTGACCAGGAGTCCGTTGTGCCCGTTCCCAAAATTCTCTACGCCACTTCTATTTGTTTTTATGGCTGTGGTTGAGTTAAACAGTAACTGAACTATAAGTGCAGAGAGAAACAGCTTTGATGTCTACAGAAGTAAAGGAAGTGTTCTAGAACAGCAATTCTGAAATTATGGCCTTGGAGGACAGCCAGGGGCACGGAGACCATTTCAGATCTGTGAGGTAAAAACTACTTTTCTTATAATATTAAGATTCTCTGCCGAAACCGGTTTGGCTCAGTGGATAGAGCGTCAGCCTGGGGACTGAAAGGTCCCGGGTTCGATTCCGGTCAAGGGCATGTACCTTGGTTGCAGGCACATCCCCGGTGGGGGGCCGGGGGGGGGGGACTGCAAGAGACAGTTGATTGATGATTCTCTCTCATCGATGTTTCTAACTCTATCCCTCTCTCTTCCTCTCTGTAAAAAAATCAGTAAAATATATTTAAATAAAAAAAAAGATTCTCGTTTTTCAGAAGCTACAGAGTTGTGATGATTGTGTGCCAGGTAGTTCTCAGTTTTCTAGAAATTTCTAAGGTCAAGTTTAGAGTGCAGATACATACGTTTTCATCCCAATATACCAGGGTTTCAGGTTCGATCTCCAGTCAGAGCACATACAAGTAGCAACCAATAAATGCATAAACAGGTGGAACAACAATAGATGCTGTTGTTTTTCTCTCAATTAAAAAAAAAAAAAAATATATATATATATATATATACACATTTTTAGTGATCATATTATTTTGTTCAACTGAGTATTTACCATCAAACTTACATCATACCTATTATAAAAGCCGGGACTGCAAGGGAAGCCCAAGTCCTGGGTGCCTGCTAGTGACCAGAGGGCAGCCCGGTCGTGGGTGCCGGGTTCTGGGTGCTGGAGAGAAGCCGATGTCGGCAGCAGGGGCGGAAGGAGGGAAGGAAGGCCTACTCTTGCACAAATGTCATACATTGGGCCTCTAGTCTAACAAATAATTATTTTCAAATCCTAAAGATATGTAAAAGTATAAAAACTTTATTTTGAAAGTTATTTTTCATAAAAATATGCTTTCTACGTTAACATGTAATGACCTATTTTTGTTATTTTAAATGAATAACTATTTTAAACTAGTTTTAATTTTTAGCACGATAAACATCAATAGGTATAGCCAAATAAGCAAAAGACAGTATTATGGAATCCTAGGATCAAAAAGTTTAAGAACTGCTCACCTAGAAAGATGTGTTACAAATAAAAAATAAATTAAATTAAATTAGGTGTGTGCATTAAAAAAGTAGAATTCTGTATGTGGACTGGTTTGCAAATGCCTTTTAAAAAAAAATGAAAACTAATTAACAGACGTGTAAATCCTTTCCCCAGCAATTCCATTTCTGAGAATTTCTTCTAGAGCCACATTTATACAATGTTGGAAATGCCATTTGTACAGTTTTTCACTGCAGCATTGTACCTAGTGACAAAATACAGAAAACCCAAGTTGGGCAGAGAGAGAGGGAGAATTTACCTGGTTAAAATGTACTGTACTCCCATATTCTGGAATAATATGCAGTCACAATAAAAGAATGGTAAAAGGCCAAGGCCGGTTTGGCTCAATAGATAGAGCGTCAGCTTGGGGACTAACGGGTCCCCGGTTCGATTCCGGTCAAGGGCATGTACCTTGGTTGAAGGCATATCCCAAATAGGGGGTGTCCAAGAGGCAGCTGGTCAATGTTTCTCTCTCATCAAAGTTTCTATCTCTCTATCTCTCTCCCTTCCTCTCTGTACAAAATCAATAAATAAAAAATAAATAAAAAAGAATGGTAAAAGTATTTTATGTGCTGATGTGGAAAGATCTAAAAAAAAAAAAAGATGCTAAACAAGGTGTCTAAAATGCAAACTTACAGCACTTGTAAGATGTTTCACTGAATACTGAACACGTGTGACTTTTTAAAATTTGTGTTGCTTTTTTTTATTCCTCTTCTGAGGATGTGTTGATTTTTAGAGAGAAATGGAGCAGAGACAGAGAAACACGAATGTGAGAGAGAAACATCAATCAGCTGCCTCCCTTTGACCCTGACCGGGATCAAAACAACGGACGGCCCAGCCAGGGCACATGTGTGATTATGTAAATGTCTTTTTAGTTTTAGCCTTTTGATTTTCTTATTGTTGTTAATCCTCACCTGAGGATATTTCCAACCCACTGATTTTTAGCAGACAGAAACATCAACATCTCACATAGGATGCCTTCCGCACCTGCCTGGACCAGGCCTGGGGATTGAACCCTTCAGTCTGAGGGCTGATGCTGGACAGGGTTAGCCTTTTGATTTCTGAGCTATGTGAATACAGGACCTGGTGAAAACATTTAATGGGAGAGGGGAGGAAAGAAGAGAGAAATCCCAGGTAATACACGTGGTGTGATTTTTATATACTGTACAATTTGCAAGTCTTATTAGGGGATGTAGAGAACCAAAAGGCGGCCCTGACCCAAATCAAAGCTTTGGCAAAAAAAAAAAAAAAAGAATGCACATGTTTTTAATGTAAAATAAAATGTTTAAAACCTGGATTTTTGTTTTTTAATTCCCAACTATTGGCTGTTCTTATTTTAATGTATATTTTTAAATTGGTTTTGAGGAAGGGAGAGGGAGAAAGAGAACCATCCATGTGAGAACAGAACATTGATCGGCTGCTTCCTGCATGCCCTCCCACCCCCTCCCCCTCCGGCCCAGAAATCAAGCCAGCAACTTGGCATGTGCCCTAACTGGGAATCAAGTCAGCAATCTTTCAGCACATGGGATGACACCCAACCAACTGAGCCACACTGGCCAGGGCTGATGTTCTTCATTAACTACTAATACTGAATGCACTGACTAAGAACCCACTATTAATAAATTCAAGACAGTCATCTCATTCACCAAACCCCAGACCCTCCTGGGCCTGATGTGATGGGGAAAGGATAGGAGGCCTGAGCAGGCAGTCAGATCTCCACTTTCCAAAGCAAGCAATTTGGTTTCCCGTGGCTGGTCACGCCAGGCTCTCTCAAGCCGATTCTGTGGCTGCCCTTCCTCCCACCTTTGTGGGAGGCCCCGAGGGCCCCTGGGGGCTCTGCCTCTGCACCTCAGCTGGGCCCAGCAAGGCCGCCTCTGGGGCTGTCCACAGCTACAGTGAGAGTGGGAATGGGGCGGCTCGGGCTTGGAGACCTTGTGGTGAGGCTGCCCTGCTTGTCCCTGGGACAGCATGAGGCCCCTGGCTGGCAGCAGACTCTGGACTCCTTATCTGCTGGCATCCTGCCAGCCCACCAGCCTGGAGGTCAGAGAAGTCCTCTCCAGATACCTAACGAGTCCTGGCGGGGGCCCCGCAGCATGACCCTTCCTCTCCCACTTCCCACCCGCCCATGTCCCGGGGGAGTCAGAAAAGAGAAAGAAGTACCGGACTTCTCCAGGAGAAACTTCTTTCCACACAAACAACTGGCTCCTTCCTTTTCCACATTTTCAAGGAAAACACGAGTATTATCAGCAACTTCATCATCACATTTAGGAACAAAAATGGAACTTTCTTTTGGTCTTCACCATCAAGCCTCTTGGCTGCTGGCTAGCAATGTGTCTCTTGGGACAGACACCCATCAACCTCTCTAGATCCAGTTTCTTCCATTGTAAAACAAAGGGGCTACACCTGAAGCTCCCCAAAGTCCCTCCAGCTCCATATCCTATGTCCGAGCATTTTGATATTTTTCAGGCATTACATGAGAACAGACTGAATTATTTTGGCAGAATGGGGAGAAGGTCCCCATTCCCAGACATACACAACCTATTCACAGCACTATTCTTTAGATTCCGAGATGCTGTAAATACTTGCCATGGATTGAGGTTGCTCCTGGAATAGAGCGGAGTGTGAGCAGGTAAGGGAAGATGGAGGTGAGAAGGGTGTGAAAACAGAACCAGTCCAGTGACTGATAAATACTGCACGTACGCATGCACGCACGCACGCATGCAGAGTCAGACCTTCCTGCCTCTTTTTATCAGTCCCGAAGAGGCGTTTCCATTACCTGAAGAAATCAGAGCAGCTCCAAAAACTTAACGGTGGGAAAAGAAACTCTTTTCCCTTTGCCCAGTGAATCCACGGAGCAATCCCTGGCCACGGAAAAGAGGACTATTCAGAGTCAGGAAACTGCACCCATGATCCTAAGGAGGAGATGGACCACCCTTAAATCTGGGCTCACCGCACTCCTACAACTCAACCTACACAGCTGCTTCTGGCACCCTAAGTAATCCAGTCCATCCCACAGAAACGATGATGATGACGACGATGACAAGGAGAATATCTCTACTGTGTTCCAGACACAATCTCAACATGCTGCGTGGTGATGAGAACAGGCCCAGAGATTACGTACTTCTCGCTGCTATACAGTGAGGGGGCCAGGACTGGAACCGATTCAATCTGGCTCAAAAGACAGCATTCTTCTGCTACCTGACACCATCTTCTGGCAAATGGCTCAAGTTCCCTGAGAACTTAATTGAACCCAACATTGGGACTTCTTCTTGCCTTGCTACCTCATTCTTCATGCATGTATGGATGTTCTTTCTGCCCCACAAGAGTGTGCAGGAGCTGGGCCTCAACTCTCTCTGCATCCTGTGGTGGCCAGTGCAGAGCCAACCACACACGAGGCCCTGAATGCCCACTCGGCATCATGGGGCTTCTTCTTGCCCAAATGAGAAGGCCAGTCATTCTGTGTTTGGTGCCCTCCGGTCAACCTGCCAACCAATGACCGGAAGGGCAGCACCAGTCTCTCTCCTGGTCTCCACACAATTTATTAAAACTCATCTCTGAGTCTCTGGCAGACTGCTAAAAGTTATGATTCTGGACATTCTCTTGCTTCACCAAGCTCCTCTGTTTTTATGGTTCTTATTTTAACAGGTAAAGGATTGATGGATAAGAAACCACAGATCTAGTCAGACCTCAGCACTGACCTTTTCCCATGGACACAGGGCACATTGGGAGCAGAGCTGGGACAGAGGCCAGGTCAGCAAGGCCAGTCCCCACTGCACACGATCACCACCACGTCCAGCAGCAGCCTGCCCACGTAGCCTGGCTTTCCTAAGGAGAAGTAACTAAAGACAAGCCCAAGCCCAGGGCGGCTCCAGGAGGAAGGGTCCCGGTCAAAGCCACTCCCGCCTCCACCTTCCTTAGGCCGCTCACAAATCATGCTCACAGGCCCTGGCAGCCACTAAATCCTCAAAACTGTAGCCACCATCCAGAGCTGATGATATTTTCTTGGCTTAACGGGACCCCAGGATCACAAGATGAAAACGCTTGGATGGCTATTTTGTCCTATTGCCCTACACCACTTGCCCTACACCACCAAGAGAGGGCAGCCTAAACCAGACCACCTAAGTTGGCCGGTAGCGACCAAAATAGCTAAAAAGCCATGCCCTCTGGGCAAGCCAGGTCGGAGTTGGCTCCGTCCCTCCTTTGCCATTATTCTCCATCTCCTGCCACCGGCCGGCCGGAAGATTTGGGTCATTTATCTTCAGCTGGGACACGGCCTGGCCGAGGGGAGGCGGGGTCCAGCGTTGCTGGAAAGCAAAGCACGGGCACCAGGGACCCTTCCGGGCCGCCCCAAGAGCTGCCCCCCCGCCTTGGCCATCTCCTCCCACTTTTCCTGTCCTCGCGGCGGGGAGCCTCCCTGAGCCTGCAGCGCGGCTTCCCACGTCCCGGGCGCCTTCTCTGGCTCCCGCATCCCGCGCTCCCCAGCCCATCGGGCCGCACCTGCCATCTCCCTTTCCCCTCCCGGGAGCCTCCCGGGGCTCCTCGGCCAGGTGTCGCCTCCATCCAGCGTGCGGGCCCGTGTGCGGGTCCTCCGGAGCGACTCCCCAGCCCGGCCCCCGCCCCCACCCCGCCCGGTGACCGGAGCCCGGAGGCGCCGCTCCTCGGGGCGCTGCCGCATCCCGCCGGGCCGCACCGCCCGCCGCGCGCGCCCTCCGCCCTCACCTGGAGCGGGGCGGACGCCGCCGGCCGTGCAGATCCACAAGCCGGGTCCTCGGCGGCCCGAAGCGACGGCGGCGGAAGCGGCGGCGGCGGCGACAGCGACTGCAGCAGCTCGGCCCTGGAGTCCCCGCAAGGCGACCGCGTGTCCTCGCCCCCCTGCCTGCGTCCGTCCCCGCCGCGCCGCGCATGCCCGCTATATAGCCTGCGCCCGCTGGCCCCGCCCCCGCCCCGCCCCGCCCCGCCCGCGCTCCCCGCGGCCTGCCACGTGGGCCGCCGCCTGCCCGCCCGCCCGCCGGAGGGCTGCGTGCCGGAGCGGCCGCCAGCTGCGGGCTAGACCCGGGCCCGCACCGGCCTGCCCGGGGCGGGCCGGCGCCCTGCTGCGCCTCGAGGCCCTGGCTGAGACCTTAGCTCGCCCAGATGCTGCCTGACATCTTACTCCATTGGGTCATCTTCTAATGCTCAGTCCCCGCTTCTTCCCCTGCGGCCGCCCCGGCTCCGCCTTCCTCGCCATCCCCACCCCCACCCCCTTACGTGGAAAGCTCTCACAACCGGCCCTCCATCCCCTAGGAGCAAGACTGCTCCTCCCCCGACATGTATATGTACATTTTAACACATATTGTAGTTAATATAAAAAGCTTCTCTCTCCCCTCCCCAATTCTGAAATATACCCCAGAAAGGGACGCACCCAGACTGTTTCTTCTGTCAACTTCCCAGCAGCCAAAAGAACAAAAATTTCCCGTTCACATGCCAAACTATATTACACTCACTTTTCGAGCTCGGTGTCACCACTCCCCCAAATGACCAGGCTCTCTAAGGAGCCAGATTTCTTAACTCAGAGCTGGGAGAAATGTTGATTTTTGGGGTGAGGACTGTTTTAAGGAATCTCTTGGTTGGGTGATAGTCCTATTGAGATGGATATCAGGTCTCAGAAATGCTAATTTCTTGAGAAAATAAGCCACCCATTAAACTATCACTGTCCTGTTGTTCTGGACATCACTATTACTTCCTCTTCTGCTAAGCCAGCTGCCACCTGGCTCTAGGTGACCAAAAAGAGGGGCCTTTTGGCAGAACTGTGGCTAGTACCCACATCCCTGATCTAGCTGTGACTGGTGTCAGCCAGTCTGCATTTGCCCAGGGAACGGGTACACATCCCACTGTGCAGGTCCTAGATAGAGGACCCCCCAGGACAGCAGCAGAATGGAAAGGAAAACAGACTATCTAGAGAGCAGTTGTCAGGAGGAATCAGGCTGGATGGCAGCTTGTCCCTCAGGACTGGGTAGATACGGGGGAAAGAATGCATGAAGCAGAGCCAGAACAGGCAGATTGTTTATGCCACTCTTGAAGAGACCAGCTAAGCCCTGGGTTTTTCTAAAATTCAATTATCCTCACCCTGCAATTACAGAGCTCCAGTGGATAAGGGATGGAGTAATGTTACTCTCATTTTCCAAGTGATTTCAAAATAATAATATCTCTTGCAGAAATTTCCCTTAGAGCCCTATCATCTTTGTAATAACCTTTATATTTGTGTTTCTTGGTTAAAAGTGAAGTATTTTTCAGACCTGTCATTCATTTGTTTTGTTTTTAATTTTTAGGATTTTTAAAATTTATTGAGAGAGGAACATTGATTTGTTGTTCCATTTATTTATGCATTCATTGGTTGATTCTCATATGTGCCCTGACTGGGGATTGAACCTGCAACTTTAGCATATCTAGATGACACTCGAACCACCTAGGGCAATCCATTTGGGATTTTTTTTTTTTTTTTTTTTTTTTTTTTTTTAAGAACAGCTTAGTGATTTTTAGAGAGAGAAACATCGAGGTAAGAATGAAACATCCATGGATGCTTCCTGCACACCCCTACCGGGATCCAGCCCAAAACCCAGGCATGTTCCCAGACCAGGTAATTGAACCAGCAACTGTTTGCTGTACAGGACAATGCCCAACCAACTGAGCCACACTGGCCAGGGCCACTGGGATTCTTTTAAAAAATATATATTTCATTGATTTTTTTTTTACAGAGAGATAGGGAGAGGGATGGAGAGTTAGAGAGAGAAACATCTATCAGCTGCTTCCTGCACACTCCCTAATGGGTATGTGCCCGCAACCAAGGTACATGCCCTTGACTGGACTAGAACCTGAGACCCTTGAGTCCACAGGCCAACGCTCTATCCACTGAGCCAAACCGGTGAGGGCCCATTTGGGATTCTTTTTTTTTTTTTTTTTTAATTGATTTTTCACAGAGAGGAAGCGAGAGAGGGATAGAGAGTTAGAAACATCGATAAGAGAGAGACATCAATCAGGTGCCTCTTGCACACCCCCACTGGGGATGTGCCCTCAACCACGGTACATGCCCTTGACTGGAATCGAACCCGGGACCTTTCAGTCCTCAGGCAGACACTCTATCCACTGAGCCAAACCGGTTTCGGCTCATTTGGGATTCTTAATCTCATCTCCAAAGGGGCTGTCAGAAATGGTCCAGCCTTTACCACTCCTTCCTGTCCTTGCAATTCTGAGAAAAGAAATGAGAAACTCACCAAAGATTAAGTAAAACAAGCTTGTTCTAACACATAGAGCTCTGAAAAGTATGAAGGCCATAAATATATATTCCAAAGGGTATGAGTCTCTTCTGAAAATTGAGGTCCAAAAGCAATCCCATCACTTTTCCAGTCAGGTGTCAATAGCACACACAGGGGAATAAGGCACTTGTCAGAGAGAGGTGGGGAGGCAGGATCAGACACCCACCACAGGGCCTATCACAGCATTCTCACTTATTTGCGACCAGAGGGAAGGTAGAGCTGCCAAAGTCCACCAAAGCTGATAAGCTATCTGTATTCCATTAGGGGAATACAATTAATTATTAACATAGCTTGAAATCAAAAGGTCTTACTCTCCATATCCACCCACACACAACTTTCAGTAAGTATACCCTGAGGCCATCCTTGTCGCTGAGTAATTAGTGCTCAGTCTTGCACACCTAGTACCAGGTTTAGGAACCCAATTCTATCTTTTTCTCTACTTATGTTAGCCATGCCCCTTTTTCCACTCATTACCTCACTTCCACATGCCAAAATTCTAACTCTTCAAAGCCACCTCCCTTTAGAAAGCTTCTACAATAGATTTTTCTGAAGTATTATTTGATCTGCCCTTTCAAATATTTTTTAGTGTAACTCACATTAAAAAATAACTTATATGGCAACTCCAGTACAAATATCAATATAGCAATTACATATTTTTTAAACTTCTTTAGTATAAACACTGTACTGATATTTTATATTCTATTTCAAGTTTCTAAGCCCTGCTGGAGTGGCTCAGTTGGTTGAGCTTCAGCCCATGAATTAAAAGGTCACCAGTTCAATTTTGGTCAGGGCACATGCCTGGGTTGCAGGCTCAATCCCCAGTAGGGGGCATGTGGGAGAAGTCAATTTATGTTTTGCATGTCAATGTTTCTCTCTCCCCTCCCCCTCTCTCTAAAATAAATAAAAACATTTTTTAAACAGTGGAAACAGCCCTGTCCGGATGGCTCAGTTGGTTGAAGTGTCATCCTGTACACTAGAAAGGTTGTAGGTTCAATTTCCAGTGTGGGCACATACCTAGATTTCAGATTTGATTCCATGGGGGCGTGTATAAGAGACAACCACTCAGTTTTTCTCACATTAATCTTTCTCTCTCTGTCTCCCTTCCTCCCTCCCCCTCTCTTTAAAATCAATAGAAAACATATAATCTTGTGACAAATAAATAAAAATAAACAAACAGAGGTAACAAATCCTCTAAATATATTTCAGAGGATTTGTTACCTCTGTTTGTTTATTTTTATTTATTTTGGGTCATGATCCACAGAATTAAAACATTTTATATGGCTTATGGTACTTGCATTTTTCCCTTCAATTTTTTTAACTTCTATTCCTAATTCGTCATCTTTCAGAGAAGAAGGGAGAAGGAAGACAGATAGAAACATCAATGCTAAGAGAGAATCATTGATTGGCTGCCTCACACATGCCCCACACTGGGCATCAAGCCCGAAACCCGGGCATGCACCCAGACCCAGAATTGAACCATGACCTCCTGGCCCAGAGGTCAACACTTAACCACTGAGCCAGTACAGCTAGGCCTAATCTTTCTTGATTAACAAATATTTCTGTATATACATGCATTCCCTAAACATAACATCTTGCTCATAACAGATTCTCAATATTTGTTGGATGAAAGAATAGACTAGCTCACTATGTTTGATGTTGGGCAATATTTAAAAGAACGAAGCACAAAAATCTGACATTTTCAGGACTGCGATTTCCCTCTGGCAAGATACCATACCTACCTGACAAAGGATAAGCAGACAGATTTCCTGTAGCTGAAGAGAGTGAACCAGCCTGGGGAAAGAAACCAGAGAAATGAGTCTCCCAGCCTTGAGTGTGTATAGGGTTGGACTGGGGACTAAGAATATTAAAGCACCTCTGTGATCTGCGTCAACAAGGTAGGCAACTTGATTCCCAGTGAGGAGACAGAGGGAAGCTAAGTAGTCAGGAATTAGGACCACTGGAAGAGAAATGAAACCAAAAAACCCAACCAGGCAGAGTTCCTAAGGCACCTCAGCTGGGCACGGAAGGAAGGGTATGCGTGAGAGGCATGAACTTTAAAATATATGAATGTTGCTAAGACAGACAGCTTGCAGATAACCAATCATAAGATACTAAGGCATATAAATCAATCCCAATTTAGCAACAGCTAAATTCTTTGAAAAGACCACTCAAGAACTAACAAGCACATATACAAAAAAGTGCAGGTGCTTCCTCTTCTCTCTCCCCTGCATGCTAGGTTCTTAGATTGATGACAGGAGAGGTATTGACTCTACAGATGGACTAATACAGTGTTTTTCAACCTTTTTTGGGCAAAGGCACACTTGTTTCATGAAAAAAATCACGAGGCACACCACCATTAGAAAATGTTAAAAAATTTAACTCTGTGCCTATATTGACTATATATAAAGTAATTCTCTTGAATAGGAATCAAATAAACACAAAGAAAGTATTTTATAATTACTTTATTATGAAATATTAAGTAAACAAAATAGTGAAAAATTATAAAATTCTTGTCTTGTCTGCACCTACAGCACACCAGGCAACATCTCGCGGCACACTAGTGTGCCGCGGAACAGCGGTTGAAAAACGCTGGACTAATAGACTAACATT